TTGGTCACAAATGACTGACACGTTTTGTATGTTTGTTGGTCACAAATGACTGACACGTTTTATATGTTTGGTCACAAATGACTGACACGTTTTGTATATTTGTTGGTCACAAATGACTGACACGTTTTGTATGTTTGTTGGTCACAAATGACTGACACGTTTTATATGTTTGGTCACAAATGACTGACACGTTTTGTTGCACGTCAGGATGAAGACATGGCTCTACAGCAGGATGATGATGAGGACGACATGGTGGACGTAATTTGGCGGCAGCTCACCAGCTCGTGCCCCTGGCTTGGGGAGGCGGGCCAGCACGTCACAGATGGTCTGATCCGGGTTTGGAGACGAGTGGTGGATCGGATCTTTGGTCTGTACCGTGTCTCCTGCCATGCCTACTTTACCTTCCTCAAACTTAATGCAGGACAGGTGAGACTTCAGAACCCTGCTGCTTTGTTCATGTGTTTAGTAAAGCTGTGAAGAAGTGTTCCTTCAGCATTAGTGTTGATATTCAGTGGCTCCTCTGCTTTGTTTTAGGTCCCAGTTGACGAGGATGACCCTAAACTCCTGCTGTCCTGTCACAACAGCAAACAGAGCAATGATGATGTGATCGTCATGGCAACTCTGCGTCTCCTCCGGCTCCTGGTGAAGCATGCCGGTGAACTCAGAGAAGGCCTCGAGTTTGGCTTGGCTTCAACTCCTACTGCACCCTGGAGACGTAAGTCATGCAGCAAAATATGATAACATTTTGTCTTTTTATGTCCCAGTTTAAATAGAGATGGTTTTATTTAGGCCAAACTTGTCATCAACCCTTCAACTGTTCAACTGGATGTTTTAAAACCATGAAATGAAATGAGTGCAGTGGGGAAATATAAAAACAAAATTGCCTAAAGGGGATTGATTTATTTAAAAAAAACATTCAGTTATTCCTCTCTGAACACATTTTATTTCCAGCTCAACCTGGACCTATGGTCCATGATGCTATGAGAAAACAAGTTGTTACTTTGCAGCTGAAGCACACACAGGTGACTAATTCCAATTTTAGACTTGAACGCATATTTGTAGAAAAATAAAACCATGCACAACCTTTCAGCTGGACCAAATACAGACCTTTATTCACTATCAGAGTATTTGTTACCAAACCAAAATAATAGCCAGGGTTGCACATAAAATTTTTGGTCTGGTTCTCAGGGGAGAACCTAGGGTTGTTGCTTGGTGCTCATATTTTCCTTCACTCATTTAACACATTTATCTAGAGGGGTGTCAGGGCATCTAAAGTCCCCCTGTTCTGTTTTATGACTTCTATCAGCTGCAACGTCTCAGGACATCATGCCAAATCAGCCCACCCAGTTTTTTATTTATTCATTTTTACTCTACATAAATTTTGTAAACTACCTAAGTGGCCGAGGGGCTGGGTGTATGTCATATAAACATCACAAACTGAACATTTCATGGTTAAATGTCTTTTAGACTACACATGTCCCTCAGATGGACAATTCCTGTTTGGTCTTCTGCATCTTCAGCCTTGGTTAAAGCAGCTTTCCACACTCTCCGCTCTAAGCAGCACACATCGGTCTTTTGCACAGAGCAAAATAACTTAAAACATACAAATGTTTTATTTGTTAGACTGATTTCTATTTTAAAAGACTATTTTATTCAAAAATATTATATTATTTAGATGGTTTCAGCTCATGTAATCATTTATTCTTCGTATTTGATCATTTAATAAATTACATTTATCCCAGAAAAACTGTGTCACAGTATGGTCCTAAATATAAACAAGTTTAGCACATCAAGAACCTTGTTTTTTTTTGTTGTTTTTTTTAAATAAAATTGTGCATGAAATTTGTGGATCTTTATAATTTTTTGACTGGGGTGTTAAACAGAGTTGAGGTGTTTAACATATTAAAGCAATCTTTGCTTTAATATGGGGCAAACAAATGTTCTGTTAGTTAATGTGGTTTAATTAGAAAAACTCAGTGAATCTCACAGACAGACTCAGCCTGCGCGTTCAGTGACGCGTTCCTGTCACAGCAGTCTCTCATCAGAAGGAGAGTTTAGTCACTCACACAGAGTTGGACAGTTGCATATATAAAGTTATGTTTTACAGACCAAAGTCTCTGGTAGTTCAGGAGCAAAGCGCAGGAGATGTCAGGACTGATCGCTGCAGCAGCTCGACTCGAGCCGGCCCGCTGCTTCAGCCAAACTTGCTCTCACTGAAAGTCCCGCCCTACTCTGCTCTGATTGGACAAAACGGCTCTGGACTTCGTCTGATTTGTTGAAGGCAGTGTCCGTTTAATCCTTATATCAGGGTCCCGCTGTGGCACGCTGAACAACGATCCATTCACACCAGTGTGGCTGGATTATTTATTTATGAAATCAGGTCGCGTTTGCAACCACACTGGTCGCACTGTAGATC